GAAATAGGGTCATGTCTGCTTAAGTAGAAAGATGAGGAATGAGCAAGAAGTAAAATAAGAAGTCTAATCTCTGTAATAGGAACACCATTAACATTCACGGCATGGGGTGCACTGGGGGAATTTTAGAGTAACTCATTAGAGTTCCCAACCCAGGGAACAAGGGGTCACAGCAGTCGGGAAGGAAGGAGCTGTTAGAACAGTAAGGCTATTCTCTTACGAAGGAATCTGACTTGGACAGTATGTTTTGGAAGGAGTGTGCTGGATAGGCTCGAAATCAACATTTTACTTTGTGACTATAATGTTAGTATGAGCTATCAGCATAATTGTAACTAGATGCACAAGGGCATATGATTTGAATATGGCCTCTAGCCTTTGCTGTCTACACAAAAGTAGTAATTTCTGCCTATGAGTTTTAGAAACAGAAAGTAAAAGATGTCAAAAGAACAAAGCTTTTTTTCAAAAAGTAGTAGGATCTTTCTGCCCTGTATGCCTCTTACATTAGGAAGTCAATTCCCTCATCACAATGGTACTAACAATTGCCAGCTGTGCTATGAAGGAATTTCTGGACAGGACAACTATCAGACATGGGAGTAACATGGGCGTTTTTTGTGGTGTAAGTTTTTAAATGCATAGTCAGCAATGGTCATGAGGCATGAGTTGTACTTTCAAACTGGTTTGACTGCTTACCACTTGTGTACAGAAAGGCACTGTTTAAGAGGGAATGGAGAGGTGCAACTTTCAAGAAGGTGTAGATTTAACATTTCTCTGCACTCATGCGTGCCTGCACAAGGTGCACTGCAATGCAACTGCTTCTCAGATGGATGAAGAGAGCCCGGTCCTGTACAGCACTGTACATCCACTTAAATGAACACTTCCAAATACCTAAAAGGAAGTACTTCAGGCCTTTCAGTGGTGCTTTAGAGCAGAGTGCTGTTCACTAGCTGGCAGGTAATGTTGCTGGTACACCTCAGCCATCTGCCTTGTGGGGAAGAGGAGCCCATGGCAGAGAGCTCTCCGGGGGCTGAACATTCCTGCCACAAACCTTCAATTCACCTGTTTCTAAGCTGTGCCCCAGCTCCTCCCCCTCGCCAGAGCACCCTTTCATCTTATTTATTAGGCAAAATGGTGGGGATAGGTTTAATCAGTGGAGAGGTGGGATGCTGATAGCCCCAGGGCTGCCCCAGCTGTGTGATGGAGCAGCACTGCGGGGGGAGAGGATGGCTGATGAGCTTTTCAGCTTGAATCTCCATGGGCTTCGTGTTCACATGGGGAAGCCCATCTTAGATCTGAGAGATTGCTCAGCACAGGGCTGCTAGGCAGCTCTGCTGCCTACAAAATGCTTGTTATTTGATTAATTTGCTGGAACACAACATAGCCAGGAATACTTCAGAAATCTCCCCAGATGTCCCCCTCTGTGTCTTTTCTACACTAATGTGAACAAAATCGATGGAGTCTGAAGATGCTCTTTATAAATAAAAGATACAGCACGTCAAAGGCAGCAATGACTTAGCACTTCTCAGACTGTTGGAAAGCGGAGGCAGTTTTGAACGTACCAAAGCAGCAAAGTGCATTTGTGCATGTGCTAAGAGAGAGAAAGAGCGGAATACTGGCCTATTTTACTTAAAAGTGGTGGAAAGCACATACAGAACATTGCAACATACTTTTGAATGTATGTTGGGGGATGTGCAGGTTCAAACTAATTCTTATTAGTAGAAGCCAGTAATTCTGCTTATTCCTACATAAAACACAGGGAGTAACTTGAAATCTGATCCCTGTTCAAAATGCACTTTAACTGTAATAAAGCAACATTTCTGAAGTAATGTTTCTTATGTCTGTCACTATGGCAACCTGCGAGGTGCCAGTATGACAGGAAACCTGCATTATGAGGCTGCATCCCAAGCGGTTGTATCAGAAGGCAAAGGCAGTATCATATATGCCAAAGAAACAAGCACAGTTTAAAAGCTTCTAATACTGTTTTAAGACAGTTCACAAAGGCTTTGAGCAGGACTTTTCAACAAACTCAGAAAACAAACTGAAGGTTGTCAAACAGGTACCTCTAAAATTACCTTTTAGAAAGCCTTTCAGGCTGCATTGATTCCTCCAGCCATTCATTACTGTGACACCAAAACGATGGCTAGCTCCTGGGCTGTGGTAACATATTCTAAGATTTGCTTCTTGCACGTTTGTTTATAAAACCAGTAATAACTTAATATTGAAATATTTACTATTAAATAACAAATAAAACAAAAAAAACATTTTCAAGAGAGAACTCCTCAGATAAAAGGCTTTAGTGATTATCAAAAGGCACAGAACTGAGAAATAGTCCTTTCTACTACATGTTTAGGATGATACAGAAGAACAACCACAAAGTCTCAAGTCAGATGTTAGTAAACATTTCTGTGGGCAGCCCTGACTTGTTGGGAAAACATCAGTTTTATTTTGTTACTTGTTACCCCCAAAATATTTTTCTTAGAACACCTACCCTGGAAAGTTTATTTCAAGTTGAGAGAGGAAAAAATACTTTAAGAAGCCTGTTTTCTTGTGAGATCCTTAAGGATGCTTACAAATTAAGTATTTTGCCTTTGTGTTACAGAAATTACAGTCCTTGAAGAAACAAGTTCAGGCATTTTGCTGGAAATAAATGTCCTGACCTGCAAATTAACACCACTTCTGTAGTCAGAGTTCTCAGAAGGATAAACATTTCTTGCATACTTATTGAGAAGGATCTGCCACTCATCCAGAGCCTGCTCCAGAGCCCACTGAAGCAGATAATAGTCTTTCCATTAACACCCCCCAAGGTGAAGATCTGACCCATATGCACGCAACTGTAAAGACTGGCCCTGCAGTCACTAACATCACTGCTAAAACTTTCAGCACCTTCCCCCATTATCAGAACTGTACCACTCAGCATTCAGAAGGTCCCATCTGTGAGCAGACCCTGACCCTGTGCTCTTTACTAAGCCAAGACTCCCACTCAGAATCAGTAACGAATAAGGTAGGCAAGATCTGACCTTCCCTGTAAAAGAAGTCTATCTTTTCACTGAACAGCTGATGTTTGGGAATATGCTGACCTTTACTTCCCCACTGAGTAGCAAGCTTTTCACATACTTGGAACATTGACACACCACTTTTTTCCCAGGTGACTGAAAACAAAGGTAGAAATCAAACCAACACACAACTGCACTACAATTATGGAGACAGGGAGAGTTCCCCGTCTTTGGCTCAACATCAGCCATACATGGATGTTTCTATGCTTTCCTGGGACAGGAGCTGTTACATCACATCACAGAAAAATAGCATGCAGTGAGGGTATCACAACAGAGACTTTACACCTTCCATGGTACTGACAGGTAAAAGAAAGCAGGGTGCTCCCAAATGAAAGCACATCGTAGGGTTTTATTCCTTCTTACTCAAGAGCAAAAGAATTGACTTGCATATGTTTTTTTTCCTAGCTGTTCAAGTTCCACTGGGAAAGGCTTCCAAAACAGGATATCACTTTATTATGCATCATATCTACATATTCATTTAGCATCATATCTACTTTGCAATTGATAGCAAATGCAGTATAAATCCAGAAGAACTGCATGTTACTGCCTAGTAACTGTACTCAGGATCACCAAAAAATTCAGGAGCTAATGCCATGAACCTTATATCCTTTTCACCTCCTCCTAACACATAGCACATTAAGCAGGCATTTAATGTTTTTCATTGGCTTGAACTCCAGTCAAGAAACCTTCTGGGCTTCACCTGAGTAAGGGGTTATCCCAAAGCTCTTCAGCAGCCAAAATTACCACCCTCTTCTAGCAAAGCAGTCACTGTCCTGTGCTGAAGCATCACCCTGAGATGCCTTGTGAGGTTCTTGTTACCTCCAGGGTGAAAGGCTAAGGGTTTGTGAGGGCTTTGCCAGACTAGGGGTTACTTATTTCCCCTGAGCTGGTAGGGAGAGTAAGAGACTGGAAAAGGGCAGTCTAAGCTCACCTTATATTCTGACAGCTACAGAAACTGGTTTAGCCTTTTGTCTGTTCCTTGGCATCCAAGTCAGATCTAATTTAAAATCATTGTCATTCCAAAGCATAATCAACAGTGTCAGCAGAGGTCTGAATCAAGCTCAGCCCTGCTATTCTGATCCGACAGTGCTGCAAGTGAGGTCAAACATCATGTTTTCTCTGCTGAGACTACCAATGGGGATCCAAAGACAAGGAAAGGCATTACTGTTCTCTCCTATTGTTTTAAGGTTTAGATTACACCCTGCTGAACTGTGCCTTTTGTTAATGAATTTAAAGTTAAGAGAAAGACCAACTCTCCAATAGATCAGGACCTGGCTTAGTCTTTGCCCTTTACAGGTTATTAATGAGAAATGGACAAGGACAGCAATGTTATCCATGCCAGGTACCAAAACAACTGTTTTCTGTAAAGGAATTACCCCCCACCCCCAGTGCTCAGGGTTTTTTCCAGTATTTAGCAAATATTTAAACTCAAAAGATACAAAGAAGCAAAGGGAAATTCAGCATCACAAAATCTACAGTGCTAATTGCAGGCAACAATGTTTTCTGAAGGAAGCATCAGGTGAATTCAGGGAGCTTCAGTATGAATAGATGTCGGTTAGATTGGCAAATCCATTTGATCAGTTTTGATAGCAGCCTAAGCTACTTAAGTCTGAATACTCTTATCAGTTCAGATTAGAACAAGATGCCCAACTAAAACAACATTTTATGCAGTTTGTGTTTTCAATTAGAAATGAAAGGGTCTTCATATCAGTATATCAAATCTGTAACTATTAGAATCTCAGTTACTTTCACATACAGGAGCCCATCTGAAATGATGGTTCATCTAAACTTCCCTAACATGGTAAAGGGTATTACTTTGCTTATCAAAGTAACCGGGTGTGGCAGTGAAGATAAGACAACAGGTTACCCAAGAACTGCCAATGAAGCATGCACCTCTCCTTTAAGTGTCATGTAAGAAGCAGGACATAAGGAAATTTCTAAGAGTTTACTCACCACTGCCATCTCCTCAGCAAAACTGGTGCCGTACTGCAGATATTCAGGGGTATGGCCAGGGTGGTAACAAGGCAGAACACGAGTGCCTTTTTGCTTCCAGGTGACTGACTTGGTGGCAGTGCAGAAGGAAATTCCCCTGGGAAAAAAAGAAAAAAGAAGAGACTTCTATCAATAAAGTTTAAAAACCTATAAAGAGACAGAAAAGCCTCTAATTCTAATGCTGCATTGTATTTGTGCCTCAGTTCCTGAGCTGATACTCCTGACAAGTCATGGTAGGTCATTATTTCTTTTCTCTACCAATACTGTAAACCTGTAACACAAAATGGATCTGCTATATGTAACTTACTGATCTGGCCTCAAATGCCTCTTTCCTGAAAACACTGCAAAGCAGAACTGTAATTTCATTATGCAGTGTAATCCTCAGTAATAGCAGAGGGACAGCATCTGATGGTGATGACAATAGTGTCATTAGAGTTCTCCGAATAAACTTCCTAAATTATAGGCTTTCTAAAAGATTTTGATCCATTCATGTGAGACAACTAGGCTTACTGAGGATCCTCACAAAACACACATCCTCAGTGCTGGGGAGCACCCTTCCCATGCTTAATGGAGGTTACTTTTCTTTCTGCAGTCGTAAATGACTGGGTTGATGTTGCAACCACAGCCACTGCAGGAAACTGGAAAATGCACCAGTGCAGCACAACACTTGAATTTCCACTCTACAAACGGCTCGTGTAGAGGTGGTACCTCCACCATGAAAGGCTCAATCCAAAGTGAATTTTCATTTAATGTTCTTTTTTTAACCATTTTGGAGAAGTCTCCATTTTTTGTCAGCTTCTTAAAGAGATTTCGTATCTCAGGCTTCGTATGCTCACTTTAGCTTTTGCCACATTTTCTTCTTACATTGATTTTTAAAAGCACATAGGCATAAAAAATACTGCAAAATTGTATAGCTATGGGACAACTCAGTAAACTTGCCACAACTTCTAAAAAGAGCAGAAATAAGTCCACGTCTCCCATAAGATATAGGAGACAAAGGTATCCTGCTTTTCACATTTGGGCATTCTTCAGAAGTTGGACAAGAAACATTAAACGTAGAAAACAAATCACATTTAAGATTAACACCTACATGTTGTTTTAAGGTTGCAGTTACTTGGTTACAGCTACAAGGAGCTAACTAGCAGCTAGATAAACACAAGGGTTTTGATGAGGCAATTTTAAATTTATACCAAGAAAACATCTGCAGCAATGTTGTTTGGAGAGCTTATTCCTATTTTCCAATGGAACAACACTGTGCCCAACAAACACATTTCATTGTGCTAATGGAGAGGGAGGAGAGAGTCAGTCAATTACATCTGAAAGTTTTTAAAATTCACACAAGAAAACAATAATATGGTTTCCAAAAAAGTGAAATAAGGTCATAATTTGCTTGTGGGTATTCCACAAACAGGAAAGGCGCCAAATTCATTTAATAAATGATTCACTATGAGTTACACGCCCAATACAGACAAAAATGAAGTTCATTCACACAGCCACAGCCCAGCCTTGATGGTTTCAGCTGTTGCTTTCTCTGTGAAGTGGTATTTCATTAACAAAAATCAATGAGAAGATATTAGGTGCTTTCTTATTATCTCTATGACTAGAGCAATACCATCTGCTTAGATCAAGGACCAGGAAGAAGGAAGGACCTCAGACGTAGGCTAGGAAATTTCAGTGCAGAGGTGAGGCAGAGATGCAAATAAAATATTCTTCTACTGAAATTGTGTCTAAAATTAATAATGAACAAATACTGTCCTTCAGCCAATACTATGGAACAGGTAACAAGCTTACTAGAAAATTAGTGGGACTATTAGTGGATTATTTTGTCTCCAAGATGCTCAATAGTAGAAAACGGGTTATTAATATTATAGCCACAATTCATTTAAAAGCAGGCCACTCTAACCTCATTTTGCTGATTATTCCTTAAAAGTCCAGGCTTTTGGAATAAAAGAGGTTGTCAGTAGTGTGAATTTGTGGTGTAAACTACTTTGGAAAGAGCACTGTGAAATAATGGAAACAGGAGGGTATTAGGATCTGCAGACACTGAGCTTGGGGCTTGCCCAGAATTTTTGCACCACTGATGGACATTAACTTGCACAATTAAGGGTACAAGATCAGTTCCTGAAGCATATCTGTGCCCTGCATTTATAGAGGATGCATTTTCATTAAAGATGGCTGAGTATTAAGATGAAGACAAAGACAGTGATGGTGAACAAAAAGAACTGTGTATTTATCAAAAGGTTTGGCATAAATATGGTGCTGGTAGAGGGTTTCAGCTGTTTTATGTCTCAGCAACAGTTTAAACAATAACATTCATATCACAGAATGGTGTAGATAATATCTGCAATAAAACTGGGTCTTTTATGTTCAGAAGCAGACAAAGCCAGGAGAGCACATTGATAAATGAAGCTGAACCTTTGTATTTCGTTGTGGTGGAGCTCCCTCTAGCTTATGGCATTAACCCTGTATCTGTAAATCATATTTGCTTAAACTCATCCCTCCATTTTCAGGGTAGAAAAGGCTTCCGATTCTATATTCTTGGAAGCATTTATGACATTTATAATTCAGCTGAAAAAAAACCAAAAGCCCCTAAAGCCCAGCTGCTAGTTGAATGACATTAACAGCTCTGATAGTAAATTTCATACTTTTAAAAAGAACAGTATAGGGAAAAGATTTCTACATCTGGGTATGTGACTGTCATAAGCAGTGCTTTCTGTCTCTTCCAGCTTTATTCTTGTTTATGTTTATGTACATAAAAACATGTATCTTTTTACCCATTTGGTGGAGAGAATTAGCCTTTCCAAAATGGCAATAAGCAAGTGAAGATTCTGCAAGGTAAATTTATCCGCTAATACAGCATTAAATAGTCTGAGCAATCCCAATTCCTCAAAAAATTATTTAATCACCTGAATTTATTGACAAGAACAAATCAGAAAAACTGATTAAGAAGTATCCTAGTCTGATTAAAGGTAGGAAAGTAATCACCATGACTTCTCTTGTTCAGAATGAGAACACTCATTTGTTTTAGCTGCAGAATTCATACAGGTTCCCCTCTTTAGGATTCCTCTACTTTTCAAGGCTGAATTAATGATTGTAAATGCTAACTGTACCTTTAAAAGAAAGTGGAATGAATGGTGCATTATGGAAACATTGTTTTGCTGAAATGCTAATTTGGGGAGATTAAGAAGACATTTCTGAAGAACAACATCCAAAATCTGATGTGAAGCTTAAATAACTACTGAAATGATAAGCAGGCAAAGCTACAGGAGAAGAGTTAATTAAAAATCTCCAAGGCAACTTACATTCCTTTGTCACAAAATAAATGCTATGCTACTGATACTGTACCTGTAAACTGAAAAATCACCAGCTGCTGCTGTAGCTAACCAGAGAACAGAAAGGATTTACTGGTTCGCAATGTCTTAAATAGTCTGCATTTTAAATGCATTTGGCCACCCTTCTTCATAAATATTGCTCCCTGGGTTTTCTATTTAACTTCACAACTACTTATCATAAGCTTCTTTGTCCACTGAAAAATTAAGCTCACCCACATTAAAATTAACAAAGAATCAGCTTATTACAGACTTTGAAGAAATTGATTCAATAGGAATTAATATTAAATTCAGACTGAACACAGAGAGACAAAACGGACACTTTATATACCTTGTGTGAAATCTTAAAATATAACGTAAAAATCTGTGGGGCTGGAACAACGTTTCTATTATTGCTTCCCCCAATAAATTAATGTATGGGATAACATTTAATTTCTAAAAATGAAAATAATGTAGCTGGTTTAGAATGCTGATTTTAGAAACTGAATGCTTTGAGAATTGTCTGATATGATGCTAATTTGTCTGCTGAGCTGCAGCACTGATAGAGATAAAAATGCTAAAATAGCCTGCTGAAGTTTACTCTGTATTATCTAATGAAAGCAATTCATCACAGAATCTGCTTTAATTCAAATTAAATTTGAACGCATCTTAAAAAGATGGGTGAAAAGAAAAAATATTTAAAGGGAAGAAACCGTTGTCAAGTATTAACATTCTTCGGGTATCATTTTGTTTGTATTATTTTCAAGAACACGTTCGATCAAATTCACCTCATTAGAGTTTAAAATTTGAGTAAAAGAAGTGTAATTTGAGTCATATAGGTAGAAGTACACAATCACAGCCGATCAGTGATGAGAAGTTAAGGGAAAGAAGGGGTTTTTAAAAGCCTTTTCTCTGTACCATGCAGAGTGTTTGTTTGGAGCATCAGCACAACAAGAAACTGTGACAAAGCCACTTTACTGCCCTAATTTTACACTAGGAATCCTTGCTCTTGAATGACTAGTGTCAAACTGCATATCCAGTTCCATAGGCATTTTGAATTAATTTTTCCTATTACATGCTGAAATCAGCTTCTATCCTCCAAGTTTGGAGGGAGGTGAGAGGGCAAGAGACTGACACTGGCTATCCCTAATGATTTAGGGGGATTGTCCCATTTAGGAGCATTTAGTCTGCATTTGATCTAACGAGACTCTTGTCACCTTGTTTTAAAACGTATCACCCGAGTGAAGCTTCAAACCGAATACAGCTTACTATGAAGATCAATAAAATACTAATTATTTTGAAATGTGTATTAGACTTGAAACGAAAATCTTAAGAGCAAGCAGATCTGATAGTCATGCACAGGAAGAATTCAGAGGGTTTTTTATTAAACATGCTAATAATAGGAATTAGATTCCCTAAATCACACCCAATATAATTAGCATGGATTTGATTTATAGCAAATTCTAACTGCTGTATTATAACAGAAATTGCTCTTATGATTTAAAGAATGAAAATTAGTTATTTGAAGCCTTTTTTCCCCCCTGCATAAAATATGAATATTATCATATGCTGAAATACTTTAAAAAGGAAAAATCAGGATACAGGAGTCCAACAAAAATAGGTGAAATTACACTATGGCAGTGCTATAGAGTACAATACTTTGCTTCCATGAAAAGATCCTGTTTTTGAATTATCACTGTAATAAGAATGCTTTGGGGTTGATCAGATTAGGCAAAAAAAAAAACGTCTTTACTTTGCAGCCTATGAAGGGAGACAAAACTTGTTGTA